CGACTTGGTCGACTTAGTCGATCAGGGGTCGGCTAAGTCGACTTAGTCGATTAGCTGCATATCGGCTTATAACACTATCTATAGGTTTCATCATGTTTGTTTTGAAGATGACGACGTAATGTTTTAATAGCACAACCAGGTACATAAGTTTTTTTGATTAGATGGACATAATTTACATGAATAACCGATAAAAACACCATCGTTACTAAATAACTTAGTAATGTAAATCCATATATCTGAAGTATACTGACGAGTAGTTTTATTAGAACTAATAGCTGAAGACATTTTGGTAAAATCTCTAATTCTATAAGCGAGAATAAGTTCGAATTGTAAAGAAAAAAATACATTATTTATAAAAAATTTCTAACAAGTCATTCTATCATTTTCAGGATAGTGCAATTATAGATTTAGCAGTTATCTATTACTACATTATCTTGCATACTATGAAATTTACAAATTCCGTATATTTTCGCAATAGCAATATAAGATATATAGGATTCATGTAGTGCCCAGATTTATGCGATTTCAGGGATTTTTCATTGTTTGAACAATGAAAAATCTTGAAACCGCATAAGTCTAAATACTCTAGATTCAAGATCATGCTGGTATAAAACAATAATAACAAGATTCAGCAGTTATCTATTGCTACATTATATCTTGCGTGCTATGAAATTTACAAATTCCGCATGTTTTCAAAATGGTAACATACAAGGTTTATAGGATTCATAATTGCACTAATTCAAAGTAATAATAACAATTATGCAACAAAATCTAGTTAAAATATAGTACAATCGTGAATCATAAAATCTTGCATATTGCTATTGTGAATTAAATTGAAAACAATAATGCCTATCGGGATTCTAATTGATGCTAAGTAAAACTTGAAACAATTAAAGCATTAATGAGTTACCCTTTGATTATATTCAGATACATTCGATTAAATTAAAAATACAATTACTTGTCTAATACATTCGATTAAATTAAAAATACAATTACTTGTCTAATTGGTTGAAAAAAAAGAAAAAGCATGTGGTTAAAAATGGAATTATAAAACAACATTCATATGTTACTCCTCAATTATATCCAGTTATGTTCATTAAATTAAAAATAAGATACTGCGATCACTATATCAAGATCGCAGGGCATTTAGTACAAATACCTGACCCGTATATGTTCAAGCAGAAACTTTGTTTCTGCTAGTACTAATGGCTTAGAATATTTTTATTGCTAGTTACTTATCTAGTTGGTTGAAAAAAAGAAATGTATGCACTTAAAAATAGTATTATTCTTAAGAGTATTATAAAGCAGTTTTAATAAAACAAGTACATACCATATATACTATAAAATCTGAAATAACGACGTATTATTTTAAATATGCACATTATTTTGAAATAGTCTCCAACCTGACTATTACTATATTATAAACCCATTATCGTTATTTTTAAAGTAGTCCAACTATATTATCTATGAACTCTATTAATTCTGCATGTTATTATTTGCCTTCGAAACAGTAATATACGAACTTATAGGATTCATAAAATTCTAATTCAAAAACAATGATAATATGTTATCACATTATTTCTGGGTACTATGGGATTGTTTCAAAATCAGATATGCTATTTTTAAAGAATCCAGTTTTTATAATACTATATGTATCTCTATAGTAAAAATAGGGGCTAAGTTAACAATTAGTCATTGAAAAAAATGCAGATAAAACTTATCTATCGTATTTATTGAGTTTATTGAAGCATGCCAACTTCGGATAAAGAAATAAAGATCTAGAGATAAATTGAGGCATGCCAACTTGAGATCCATTGAAGTACGCCAACTCTGAATGGGGAGATAAAGATCTGAAGATAAGACCAATCATACAAAATTATGGTAATTTCATTTAGAGTCTACAAAATAGAATGTAAAAAAAAGCGTCAACGATTTTCTGAACCTATTTCTAATCATGAATCAACTCTATTCGCAAGTTAACAGTTAACAAAGTTCAGCTACCACCCATTTATCATGCTACTAAGATACCACGCTGGTTTTTAATTGACTTTCATCGCTTTAAGATGATAAAATCAAAGAATATCAAGTGCAAATTAAATTCAGATTGTATGCACCAGGATATCAACCTCATTCGTCCATTATTAATACATCATGAATCAGCGAAGGCGTTTGTCACCTTACTCGTTGCTTGTCATTGCTCCAAATAGGAGTAGCTTAATAAACTTGGAAGATGAAATACTTAATAATATTATACGAGTAATATGATTTATTTACATACGCCAAAAAATTTTTAGTAAAAATTTTCGTATACTTAAGACATTAATTACGTATGACTATGAGTGCCACAAAGGAAATGAATTAGAAAATGAATTAAGTAATATAAGCTTTTCACACTATCGTTGTGCAGCTCATGTTATCAATTTAGCTGTTCAACAAGGACTAAAAGCAATAGGGCCTGAAATAAAAAAACTTCGTCATTGGGTTAATAAGTTGAAAGAATCTCCACGTTTAACTGATGAAATGCGCAAAATTTGTATGTCAAAAAATATTAGTTATTTGGCACCAATAATTGATGTTAGTACGAGATGGAACTCTACATACTTGATGATCCAACGGCAATTAAAAAATAAAAATCTGAATGATATTCTAGTTTCTAATAATCAGCAGACTTTAAAAGAAATTTATCCTAGTGAAAATGAATGGGCCCAATTGCATAATCTTGAGCAAATTCTTCAGCCAATGTATGAAGCTACGCAACTATTATCATCATCAAAAAATCCAACAATTGGTGATATGCGTCTGGTGTTTTTAGGAATGTTTGACATACTAAATAATTTTATAGCTTCTAATTCTCAAATAGAAGTTTCTAAATTAATTCTTAAAAAATTAGAAAATTGATTGGGAATTAGTCTTAGATGAAGCTTCAATGTTATCAACAGTTCTTGATCCTCGATCCAAACTAACAACCTTTACCATTGAACAACAAAATATTATTAAACAAAAATTATATTCAACTTTTATTGCATACCAATCTACAGATGATATTAAAATAGATTCTAGTCAACAACCTTTATCACGTTTATACTTTCGAAATATTTTAAATAAGAAATTACAATATATTCCAAATGATGAAATATCTTATTACTTAAATAATCCTCCCGAATTTAATACAAATCCATTACTATGGTGGAATACTCATCAACTTGAATATCCAACATTGTCAAAAATAGCCCGGGACTATCTTTGTATACAAGCTACTAGTGTAGCATCTGAGCAGGAGTTTTCTTTAGCTGGTCTTACTATTAGTAAAACTCGAACACGATTACTACCAGAGACTGCTAGAGCTAGTTTATGTTTAAAAGACTGGATTACAGGTAAGTATATTAATGAAATTCAATTATGAAAATGATTTAAATCAAATTGTTGGAAAGCATATACGTGAACCTTCTGAAATTAATGAATCTCCTCATTTAAAAAAGAGGCTTGAATACTATTTTACTAACACCAATACTGTAACAAAAAATAGTTCATAAAGATGAATTCGGTTTTTTTTTTTTTAAAGCATTAGCTTTTTTTTTTTTTTTTAACTTAAATTGTTTTAACTCAATTCGATTTTTATTATTTCAATTATTTTTATTTTTATTTTATTTTATTAAATTGTTGATATCAATAGTATATAAGTATAATGGTAGATAAATTTATTATTATATTAAAGATACTGCCAAAAGCTAAACATTATACATACTACATAATTAGTGCTATACAATGCTCTTTTAGTGATAAGTTAATTTCATACTAAGCAAAGTATTAAGTAGACCTCTATTTTAAAGCCTTACTTTATTAGATTAAGTATTAAAATTACTTTCAATTAATATACTGCGATACAATTTAACTCTAATAGTAACTTATAATATATATGTATTAGAACTATAGTAATGATAATTATTAAATACTATTACTTGTATAAATGCTTATGAACATAAGATAATATAATTAATTAGATTAGGATTAGATAATCACGATACAATTAATTTATATAATTAACACAATGTATATAACATAAATAATTAATGAGAATAAGGTAATAGAGTAAAAATGAAAAATTTAAGTTAATTTTAACAGTTAGAATAATGAAATGACAATAAATACAACACTTAACTTACAACACTTAAACTCATAACAGATAAGAAATTGATTTTTCTTATATCCTTTATAACAAAGACATCAAAGTTTAAAGCTTCATTAGAAATCACAAAAACATAGCCTTGTTAGGATGTTTAATCACAGAAGATTGAATATTGATATGACGCAATAACTAATCAAAGTTCTTTGCCACAATTTTCACAAGTAACTAGAGTGAATGGCAGTGTTTAATTCTACTGATATATTGACATACTAGAATCTAAGTCTTAATAATCTAAATTGAAGTTACCAGTCAATTTAGTTCATCGAATTGAGTCTCGAAAGGTTTATTAAAGTTACAAGTCGAATTCAAAAGACAATTTCACAAGAGAATATTCAGATAAGTATATACTTTTATTTATTTGAGGGTGAAAAGAATGTGAACATAAACTGTCATTCTTTATTGAATTCAGACTTTTGTATAATTGGTTGCTTAAATCAATTTAATTTTACATTTTTATACAGTTTAAAGTACTTTTTAAAAAAAATAAAACTACGAAGAATAAACAAAAAAGAAGCATATAAAAAGTTTTATTAGGGTCGTAGGACTCAACTATTAAAAATAATCAAAATCATTTCTGGTTTTAGTGAAGTTAACATATTAGTAACTTCTTAAAGATTGATAGAATTAGATTATTACCATGCTAACTTCTCTAAAACCAGAAATGATTTTGATTATTTTTAATAGTAAGTCCTACAACTCTAATAAAACTTTCTTTTTTATTTATTCTTTGTAGTTTTATTTTTTTAAAAAAGTACTTTAAATTGTATAAATAATGTAAAATTAAATTGATTTAAACAGCCAATTATACGAAAGTCTTCCTATAGTATAATATCAGGGTGGTTAATTATAGGCAACAATATAATATCAATAAATGTAATACAATCGTTAAAATAATAAAATGATAACAAATATAATACTAACAACTAAATACTACAAGTGAGAAACCGATTCTTATTATAATCCGTATAATCAACAATCGAAGTCTAAAGATTTATTAGAAGAGTGAGAAGACAGCTCTTTTATACTTTCAAAAGATATATAAATAAGGCTCTGGTCTATTTCTATATTTTGATTCTCACTAATACCTTTCATTTGGGTTTAAAGACTAATTTAACTATTCTAATACTATCTTTAACCATATTCAAACCTATGGTCTAAGCTTTTGTTCAGGTCTTGTTATACCACCTTTACCTTTTACTAAGCTTTATTTTACATGTAATCTCTTCACTTTACTTTTTAGTAAATACAAATGATGAATGATATAAATATTGGAACCATTTTATACTTCTAAGCCGCTATCACCTGCCTAGTCTTCCAATATTCTTGTAATTAGGGTTTAGTCAAAATACACTTTCATATAGTTCTAGTTTTTCAAAGAAAAATCAGATATTAATATTAAAGTATTATTTAGAATTTTGCTTATAAGTAGATACAAGTTAACTCAATGTATGTTAAATCAGCTTAAAGGACTGACTCTAGTAAGCTTTTAACAACCCTAATCAATTGCAAGTTTAAATAGAATTACTAGCAGATTAAATATATTATTATAACTCACCATATATATTAGAAGACATTAAAAACAAAAAATTGCAAAAACAAGAAATAAAGATTTTATCAACAACTGTCATAGAAAACATCTTTTGCGGTATTAAGGAAAAGGATTCAGCACAAAAAGATACCTCAAGTTTCTTAATACAGAAACTTGAAAGCAAACCAACTCAAAGAAAAACAATATTTTTAAAAAATTTTTCGTCAAATTTTTGGGAATTTGGATTTTCATCCTAGACCCTGTAAATTTAAGACGCGTGACAAGTGATCATCAAAACAATATACAAACAAAATAAACACGTACCTTTTAGAGAACATCAACAACTTTATTGACAAACAAACAAACAATCACGTCCTTTGTAGGAAGTACTAACAATCAGAGAACAACAACAACAACAAAAGAATAATAATACGTGGTGATATAGAAAGCAACAACGAAAGACATAGAAAGTTCTAACAAAAATGGAAATCTAAACAACAAAACCAGTTTGGACCAGTTTAATGACATATTTACACAGAGTAGGCTCCCAAGTGTTTAAGTATATAAATGACAATAAACTATTAGAAATTCTT